TTTGTTACCTAACAGCGAAGACTGATAGGTTTCTAGTGGTGTCAAAAGAAACCAACATGACTCCTCAGGGGGGTCGGGGCGGGACCCGGGGCGGCTGCCGTCGAAGCCCAAATCGCCTGGGACATCCTCGCAAAATCGCTCTTGGCGCTGCTAGAACTCAATTCCCGGCGTGCATTTTGGATGCCCGGAACCAACTGTAGGCCACTTCGTGCTCTTCGACTTCCCAGAACTCCATTCCCGGACCACATTTTGGATGCCCGGAGCCAACTGTAGGCCACTTCGTGCTCTTCGAGTTCCCAGAACTCCATTCCCGGGCCACATTTTGAATGCCCCGAGCCAACTGTAGGCCACTTCGTGGTCTTCGAGTTCCCAGAACTCCATTCCCGGGCCACATTTTGAATGCCCGGAGCCAACTGTAGGCCACTTCGTGCTCTTCGAGTTCTCAGAACTCCATTCCCGGGCCACATTTTGAATGCCCGGAGCCAACTGTAGGCCACTTCGTGCTCTTCGAGTTCCCAGAACTCAATTCCCGGGCCACATTTTGAATGCCCGTAGCCAACTGAGGCTGAGGCAGGCTGCTGCTGAGGCAGGCTGAGGCTGAGGCTGAGGCAGGCTGAGGCTGAGGCAGGCTGAGGCTGAGGCCGAGGCCGACGGCAGACTGAGGCTGAGGCTGAAGCAGGCTGAGGCTGAGGCTGAGGCAGGCTGAGGCTGAGGCTGAGGCAGGCTGATGCTGAGGCAGGCTGAGGCTGAGGCTGAGGCTGAGGCAGGCTGAGGCTGAATGCAGACTGAGGCTGAGGCCGAGGCTGAAGGCAGACTGAGGCTGAGGCTGAAGCAGGCTGAGGCTGAGGCTGAGGCAGGCTGAGGCTGAGGCAGGCTGAGGCTGAGGCTGAGGCTGAGGCAGGCTGAGGCTGAGGCTGAGGCTGAGGCAGGCTGAGGCTGAGGCAGGCTGAGCTGAGGCCGAGGCTGCAGGCAGACTGAGGCTGAGGCTGAAGCAGGCTGAGGCTGAGGCTGAGGCCTTGATGCGGCTGGATGCTGAGGCCAGCTGAGGCTGAGGCCGAGGCTGAAGGCAGACTGAGGCTGAGGCTGAGGCTGAAGCAGGCTGAGGCTGAGGCTGAGGCAGGCTGAGGCTGAGGCTGAGGCTGAGGCAGGCTGATACTGAGGCATGCTGAGGCTGAGGCTGTGACTGTGACTGCCGTTGCCACTGCGACTGTCATCGCGAATGCGACTGCGACTGCGAGAACAGGAGAATTCTACAACTGGATTCTCGTCTGGATCTTAAGGGGAATGTTTCCATATATGCTTCTACACATCGCTGTTAGGTTGCTTTGCCGGGATAATTTTGTTTGTCTGTTCTGTGAAGAGTACGAGCCTGGATATCCCGACCCTCTCCCCAGGGCCAGCTTCACACATCTCGAGGGTGGGCTTTTCTGACGGTGCAGGGGCCTGCTGAGGGCCCCTGGGGGCAGAACGCGGCGAGCACAGTCCGTAGTGTTCCCTGTTTTTGGAGGACGCTGGGATGTCTGGGAAGCTGGGGGCACCCTGGGCCGGCAGCACCACTGGCGAGTTCCGACTCGTGGCCGGGGGGTGGGACTGTCTCGCCCTGGGCCTGGTCGTGGTCGTGGTCGCCGTCGTCGTCGCTGCCGTGGTGGTGGTGGTGGTGGTTGTCGTCGTCATGGCCGCCGCCGCCGCCGTCGTCGCCGTCGTCGTCGTCGTCGTCGTCGTCGCCGTCGCCGTCGCCGTCGCCGTCGCCGTCGCCGTCGTCCGCGTCGTCTTCGCTGTTCCTGTGGGCTTGCTGGACTGAGCGTGGGGGAGGACTACCTCGCCCTGGTGCACGGGGAGCTCGAAGGCACCGCCCGCCGTGGTGCGCGCACGCTCGCGGCGTGCACGGCCCCAGGTTGTGGAGGGGCCTGGACCTCCTCGCGCTGCGAACGAAAGGCGCGGCAGAGGGCTATGGAGCCGTGCTCGGCCTCTAGGAGCCCGCACCGGGCCCCAGGGCCGTCAAGCAAGGACCCAAGATGGTCGTCGTTCTCTGGTTCATTGGTTTGCCGATCGGCGCGGGCCCTCGCACCCCCCCTTCCCCCCAAATGGAGTAGATCTTGGCTGTTTTTGGCGCCTGCCTCGAGCGGGTGGAGAGTCCCCCCGTAATTAGGACGCCCTGCCGCAAGCAGTCGCACTAAAAGCAGAGGTCCGGAGCCAGCCCCCCCTCTCCCCCTCCCCCTTCCGCCCCGTGCCGAAGCGCCGAGTATCCCCCTCCCCCTTCCGCCCCGTGCCGAAGCGCCGAGTAAGGAAGGGACCGTTCGCATGACAAGCGGGTCCCGCGGGAGGGGTCGAGACTCAGGAGGGGAAAAAACACAGACACAATTAATAGTCGACTCCCAGGAAAATATGGGAAAATATGGGAAGTGTGGGGCAAGACGAAAACCCAGAAAACACGGAAACATATGGGGAATCCTGTCATTTGTGTGTGTTTGTTCGTGTGTCCCAGGGCCCCTTTGGAGACCTCCGAGGGGGGGGCCCACGCTGCGCTCAGAGGTCGCGGGTCCCGGGTGGGTGGGCCCTCGTGGCCCTCGTGGCACGGCTGTCGGAGGAGGAGGAGGAGGAGGAGGAGGAGGAGGAGGAGGAGGAGGGGGAGGAGGAGGAGGAGGAGGAGGAGGAGGAGGAGGAGGAGGAGGAGGAGGAGGAGGGGCGTGCCCCTCGCTCTGGGCGTCTCCGCGTGAGCTCAGGGCCCTCGGCGAGTGGGGCCGCCGTCGGGCCGAGGTATGGGACCGAGCGGGCGAAGAGAACGATACACCTTAGGCGATGCTTAAGAAAACGTAAGTTTTCGGCGAGAGTCTCGATTATTCTTAATGTTTCGATGTAAATCCTAAGATTTGAATCGACATTCTGGGTTTCTATTCAAGTTCCTAGACTATGAACTTCTTAACCCATGATTTCTTGAGCATTTCGCAGGGTGTATACACATGCACCGATCCTGGCAAGGCCCATCCTTGACCCAGGATCGGTGCACATGCCTTCCTGGCAGAGGCAGGAGGGCGTATGCACCGATCATGGGCTCAGGGTGGGTCTGGCCAGAATCGGTGCACGTGCATAGTTCTCCTGCCTCTAATCGAGGGCAGGTCGGGGAGGGTGCCCAAAGGTTCTTCGCGCTTGTTGGGTGCTCTTGTGCATCCCGGGGAGGGCACTCTTGGATGCTCTGCTTGTCTTGGCCGACGGAGGGTCTCGTGGTGCTCTTCTGGCCTAGGTCCGACTGCAGTGTCGACGGAGGAAACACGACGGCCATGACCAAGGTGTCGCGGGATCATGTCGACGCCAGTCTTGGTCATGGTCCATGTCGGCCGTCGCCGATTCGCGAGGATCCGCGGATTGATGTCGACCAACATGGACGATGACGAAGATCGACACCGGCGTTTCCGCGTTCAGTCTTGAACACGGTCCTCGTTGTATTTCCCTCCAGAAGGGGCTGGTGCTCTTCAGCCAGGCGCGGAGGGGGGTACGCGGAGAGGGGGTAAAGGCTTCTTAGAAGCACCCCTAACTTTTGGACAGCGCGGGCCTTGTCTGTATACGTAGGGCTGGCGCCTTCTAGGAAGCGGCCTCCTTCTAAGAAGCCTCCCCCCCTCCCCCTACCCCCTTGTGCACGCCGCCGAAGAAGATGCTGGTGTTCTTGACCCACGTTCCCGTGGCCATGTTTCGACCGTGTGCGAGGGCTCGGCCAGAGCGAACGCGGGCCGCAGTGCAGGAGAAGGGTGAGGAGGGCGACAGGGCTGACCGTCACGGAGGTTCCTGGTAAGAGTGGGGAGAGGGTGAGGCACGAGGCCATCTGATGCAGATGATGTTGTCGTTGATGATGAGGATGGTAAGGATGATGATGAAAATGATGATGAGGATGCACATGATGTTGTTGGTGATAATGATGATGATGAGAGTGCGGATTTTCCTGTTGGTGATGCTGATGCTGTTGCTGATGATGATGCATCTCATGATCGTGATGACGACGATGATGATACTGATTATTGTTATGATGATGATGATGAGGATGATGATGATGCTGATGATGATGATGATGCTGATGATGATGATGATGATGATGATGATTATGTCGACGACGATGAAACTGATGATGGTGATGATGACGGAAATGCTGTTGATGATGCTGATGGTGGTGATGCTGATGCTGACGATGATGCCGATGATGATGATTCTGATGATGATGCTGCTGATGATGATATTGATGATGATCATGCTGATGCTGCTGATGATCATGATGATGTTGCTGATGCTGCTGATGATCATGATCATGATGCAGCTGATGATTCTGATGATGATGCTGATAACGACGATGATGACTATGCTACATATACATATGATGATGCTGATGACGACTATGATGGTGATACTGATGATGATGACGATGCTGATGATGATACTGACGATGCAGCTGATGATTATGATGATTATGATGCTGATGATGATGACGATGCTGATTATGCTGATGATGCTGACGCTGCTGCTGATGAGGATGGTGATGGTAATACAAATTGTGATGCTGATGCTAATGCGGATGATGTGTCTGATGCTGATGTTGATGATGATGCTGATGATGATGCTGATGATGATGCTGATGATGATGCGGATGATGATGGTAATGATGATGACGATGCTGCTGATGATGATGACGATGATGATGCTGCTGATGCTGCTGATGATGACGATGATGCTGCTGCTGCTCATGATGATGATGATGATGATGATGATGATGATGATGATGATGATGATGATGATGATGATAATGATGCTGCCGATGAGGATGACGAGGAGGAGGAATAGGAGGAGGAGGAGGAGGAGGAGGAGGAGGAGGAGGAGGAGGAGGAGGAGTAGGAGGAGGACGAGAATGATGCGCCGCCGATCCGCGGTTGGGCGCGAGTCGATAGACCGACGCGCCGCTTGCACGAGGAGGAGGAGGAGGTGGAGGAGGAGGAGGAGGAGGAGGTGGTGGTGGATCAGGGTGGAGAAGAAGGCGTTCGTCATGCTATGCAAGATTTTCCCCCATGTCGCAGCTTCGATTCGCTCAGTGCTAAAGAACGGTGTTATCCAGCGTGCATGTCCGAATGTAATGCCTGCTGGAAGCGAAGGTCTCACCATGTGGAGGAAGATTCACGCTCTCTGGGCAGCTCGATTTTGCCAACGCAATTTGCGACGTTAGTGTCGTGGGCGTTCTTGTTGGCCATGTGATGTTCTACCCTGCCTCCAGAATATTTCCCGTGCGTGGACGGTTGCCCTGTTTCGACTCTTCGGTTCGAATGTTCCCGAACAAGCGAGTGCGGGCGTGTTGCTCGATGAAATTATTGATGATTGGGGGTGGTAGTCGGGTTTCTGATAGCAGCGGCTGTCGCGAGGCGTCAGCGCCATATATGTTGCGATGGGGCCCGTGCGCGTGCCATGATACCCGGCGTCTTATGCTGTTGCCGCCACAGGTCTAGTGTGTTGTGGTGAACCTCGGCGTACTTCACCACGCAGTGAGAATTTTTGCTCGCATGAACAGCTGCGCGACTAAAATGCGGGCCAAGAGACGACACTGGCTGAAAGGAGCCAGTTGGTATTTGTTCTTCCAGGCAGGACGGATACTCAACTGAACTCTCAGCTAATTTTGGGAATTTGTGACAATAGTGGTGGCTGTTTTTTTTGCATGAGGCGAAACGTCGAACATGGGACGAGAGGGTGAAGGGTTCACAAAAGGTGGACTTGATGATGATGATGATGATGATGATGATGATGATGATGATGATGATGATGATGATGATGATGATGATTATGATGCTGATGCTGACGATGATGATAATGATGATGATGATGGTGGTGGTGATGATGACGATGATGATCACGATGATGATGATGATGATGCTGATGATGATGATGATGATGATGATGATGATGATGATGATGCTGATGCTGATGCTGGAGCTGATGCTGATGCTGCTGCTGATGATGATGATGGTGGTGGTGATGATGATGATGATGATGATGATGATGATGATGATGATGATGATGATGATTATGATGATGATCATGGGCATCTGGATGTTGATCAAGAGAAGTGAGCATGGTGATCTTGTCGATGATTTTGATGGTGCTGATGGTGGTGACGTGGCGGAGGAGGGAGGGTAAGACAAGGATGATGATGATGAGGAGGAGCAGGAGGAGGAGGAGGAGGAAGAGGAGGAGGAGGAGGAAGAGGAGCAGGAACAGGAGTACGAGGAAAAGGAGGAGCAGGAGGAGGAGGAGAAGGAGGAGGTGGAGCAGGAGGAGCAGGAGGAGCAGGAGGAAAAGGAGGAGCAGGAGGAGGAGGGAGGAGGAGGGAGGAGGAGGAGGAGGGAGGAAATGAGCGGGGAGGAGGAGGAGGAGGCGGAGGAGGAGGAGGAGGAGAGGAGGAGATAGGAGGAGGAGGAGGAGGAGGAGGGAGGAGCAGGAGGAGCAGGAGAGCAGGAGGAAAAGGAGGAGCAGGAGGAGGAGGAGGAGGAGGAGGAGGAGGAGGAGGAGGAGGAGGAGGAGGAGGTGGAGGAGATGAGAGGAGAGAGGAAGGAGGAGGAGGAGGAGGAGGAGGAGGAGGAAGAGGAACAGGAACAGGAGCAAGAGGAGCAGGAGGAGGAGGAGGATGAGGGGAACCGGGAACCCAGGAGCGGAAGGCAGGGGAAGAGAGGCCCAGGCGGAGCAGCAGCAAGGGCGCAGGCTCCGGCGTCTGCCGGGCCAACATCGACCGCAGCCAGTACACCAAGGGGAACACCAAGGTGCCCACCGTCGTGCGCATCACCTCGGGGGCAGCGGGGTCTGTTGTTCTCTCTCCCTCTCTCTCTTTCTCGATGGTGGCCTCGGCTACCGCAGCAGCCTGCTGTCCACGGGACTCCCGTTCGCCTGTCCGATCTCTCTCCCTCTCTCTCACCCTCCTCCTCGGGGGCCGGCCCTCGCCCCCGGAGGGGGGCCCACGGGATCCCCCCTTCATGTGGACGCCCGAAATTGCAGACGACCGGGCTCTGTTCCCTGGTTGCGCGGGCAGTTTCCCTGGTCGGACGGGCTGTTCCTCGGCAGAGTGGGGCTCTTCCCCGGCTGGAACCTCAAGAGCTCGAAAGAAGCAAACAACCGAACAACCCGACAACACGTTAGCTAGCGTGGGCCCCTAAGCAGCAGGTTCTTGCAGTCTATGCGGCGCAATCTATGTGGTGCAGTGTATGCGATATGCAACCTGTGTAACGCAATATAGTCAAACATCCTAATAAGGACGCGCGACTTTGCTCAGGGTACCCTTGCGTCCTTGCTCTTCCTTGCTCTTGCGTCCTTGGGGTTTTCGTCGTCCGCCGCCCCAGAAATCCCAACTTCGGCTTCCAAGGGTCTTGCGTCCTTACCGCGCGTCCTTATTAGGGTTTTTGATTGTATATGCGGTGCACTTATGCAGTGTAAGCTATGTGGTGCAGTCTGCGCGGTGCAACCTATTTAGTGCAATAGCCGTAAGGGCTTCGCCCCCGTGCCGCCGGCCCCCCGCTCTTAGAGTGGGACTTGCCAGAGCTGTGTTGGGATGTCTGGGCGCTGACATGAAGCAGTGCCGGGACTTTCTACGCGAGGGCCAATTCAATTTACGAGGGTTCATGGCTTCGGTGGCGCGTAGATGAAGCAGTGCCGGGACTTTCTACGCGAGGGCCAATTCAATTTACGAGGGTTCATGGCTTCGGTGGCGCGTAGATCGTGTAATTTACGATTGTTTATAGCTTCGGGGACGCGAATATTGCGTACTTTGCAAGGCTTTGTTGCCTCGGGGGCGCAAGTTCTGTATACTTTACTACGGTTCACAGCCTCGGGGGCGCAAGTATTGTATAATTAACGAGAGTTTACGGTTTCGGGGGCGCGATTATGGTGTAATTTGCTTGGGCTTGTGATCTGGGGACACAGGTATGTAGTTTACGAATGTTTCTGGCCCTGGGGACGCGCATTTCGTATAATTTACAAAAAAGTGTATGGCTTCGGGGGTGCGAGCATTTTGTAACATATCTGGGTTTATGGTTTCGTGGGCGCGAATATTGTATACGTTACGAAGGTTCGTGGGTTCGGGGACGCGAATATTGTATAATTTACAGAGGATTATCGTTGCGGGGGCGCGAGCATCGTGTAATTTGCAAAGGATTCTGGTCTCGGAGCCGCGAACATGGTGTACATCACAAGGGATTATGGCTTCGGGGGCGCGAGTCTCATGTAGTTTTTACGTGTCCCACGCCTCCCAAGGAATTAAGACAACGCGATTCGGGGACGCTAGCCGGGACACTTTTCGGCTCCCCCCTCGCGCGTTCAGCAACAATTAACAGTTAGGAAGCTTTGAATCAATGGAGGAACCACCACCTGGACCCAGCAATTTGGCGTTTACTAAACAGCCCTGCCCTGTTTGAATCCTTTTCTGGGTGCGCTTCCTAAGCGGCTTCGCGTGTCGGGGTATTATCGGGGTGGACTTTCTGCCCTCTATTGAAGCCAGTCATCTCAAAGCGTGCTCTGTAGGCATGCCGTCGGGGACGTCTGCTTCGCGTTGCTGCGCCAGCGGCTCCGACCCACAGCTTTTCGGCGCGACAGGCCCAGAGGGGGCCCCTGGGTGCAGCGCTCCCCGTCTGGGACGGGCCCTCCTGGAAGAGCGTGGCGCCCTCCCCAGACCTCCGACGTCATGTTTCGTCCTATCTTCAGTGTCGTTTCACCGACCCCCATCCCCATCCTCATCCCCCTCGAGGCCCCCACCAAATTACCACCCTAGCTGGGGATGCACCCCTCGAAACCCGAAGGGAACGGCCCATATCCCCATCTAGGCGGGTAAATCGGCCAGAGTGGCCCAGTCCACGCCGCTGGGGATGGGGGTCGGATAAACGACGTGGACCCCAGAAGGAGGTCTGGGTCCCTTCGGGGGACCCGTTCTTCATCCCGAGGAGGTCCCGGGGCCCAGTGGGTCGCAGAGGCCGAAAAGCGGGCAAAAGCTTACGTATTGGTTGTTCACGACGCGAGGGGGCCTCGGTCTTGGCCATCCCCGAGGGTCTCTCGAGGGCGCGAGGGGTGCCCCGAAGGGCCCCCGAGGGCGTCGCGCTGCCTGGGCGCGGGGGTGCCTAGCCTGGGGCCAGGAGAGAGCTCGCCTCCCTCGCAGGCTTCCTCGCGTGTTGAGGCAGTCATAACGGAGGGTTTCGGCCCATTCTCGTTGGTTGCTGCTCGCCCAGGGGAGTTCCAGGGGTGCCCGGATCTTCCCGATCGGCGGCTCGAGGTTCAAGAGGAGGAGGAGGAGGAGGAGGAGGAGGAGGAGGAGGAGGAGGAGGAGGAGGAGGAGGTTCAAGAGGAGGAGGAGGAGGAGGGGAGGAGAGGAGGCTCCAGGAGGAGGGAGGAGGAGGAGGGGAGGAGGAGGAGGAGGAGGAGGAGGAGGAGGAGAGGAGGAGGAGGAGGAGGAGGAGGAGGAGGAGGAGGAAGCGGCCCGAAAGCCGGACCTTCTCACGTTGCGAAAGAATCGGCGGAGGGTTCTTTTGGCCGTTTTCGGCCTCAGGAGGCTCCTGGCGGGCCCCGGGAATGTCCAAAAAACAATTCGGGGTGCATAAACCAGTTTCTGAAGGAGTCCAGGCATCTGGTTCGAGAGAATCACGCCAGCTCGCGGCGCCTGGGGTCTGGGTTCTTCCCTCCCCCTTGCCAGAGAATGCCAACAGGTGTCCTTGGACGTGATGGTCTTCGTGTTCCTGGCCTTCTGGCGCTTGTGATGCGCATTCCCGCCTAGGCTCCGACCGCGCCGTGCGTCCGCCAGCGCTGCGACAAAACAGAAATTAAGTGCTCCTGGCTCTGTCTTGATGCTTTTCATTGGTCGTCGGGGCTTTCCCGAGTGGCAGCAGGACCCTGGGGTCGCTCCGACCTTCCTTCCTCCTTCGCGAGGGGACTTTCCCGCAATATGGTGCTGGATGGGGAGGGGGGGGCGGGGGGTCGTGGGCGGAAGACAGATTCTTCATGCCGAGGTCAAACGGTACGCGCAGTGACAGAAACCAGCGCACACCGCGTCAGGACACGAACGGTTGCTTCCGGGATCCGTGCGATTTCGGGGTCGGCGCGCCTGCAACGTGGTCAGCGCAACGTGTGCTGTCCAGGTCTTCCATGTTAGGTTGTGCATGCACATCGCGTGCGAATGAACGGTGCCCGTTTTTTTTTTTTTTTTTTTTTTTTTTTTTTTTTGCCGAAGTAAATATACTTATTCGGCGCTTTGCTATTTGAGTTCCCGAATCGTTGTCCTTGTTCATGTCGTGGGGGCGGGCGGATTCCCGACTTCCTTTTAACGCCATTCTACTTCATGTTCCTACCCGCTTCTCCTGAACGATGGGTCCCGGCAGTTTTGCGGGTCGGAAGCTTGGCAGGCGTTGGTGTTTGCGTTTGCGTTTTCATTTGGGAAAGCACACGTGCACATGTACATGTACATGTGCGAGTTTGTATGTGCGTGTGCATGGGTTTGTGATCGTTGCGGTTTTCTCTTGCCAATGCATCGTCAAGCATTCAGAATGCCTTTCTGATTTGATCCGACGGGCTCTGTTGCCTAATGGAGGTGTTTTGTTCTATCATGTCCTGTCATGCAGATGCAGTTCGCCTCTCGTCGCCCTATTGTGAAGTGGTCCGGGCGAATTGAAATTTCATTATTCGCGATAGCGCCGTGAACCGGCCCCGCCCCTCCTTCTCTCCCGCCCCGTGGTCACGTTATGATTCGCGCCAGCGCCGTCTGGGAATGAACCATTCGTAGGCATTCCCAGACGGCGTCGGCGCGAATCGCGACGTGACCAGTCCCCCCCTACTTAAGTCGCCCATGCTCATCGCCAGGGGATAATGAGCGCTCTCGCGTCGGTTCGCGCGGCTTGATTCGACCCCGGGGGTAGCGCATTCGCGGATCAAAACTTCGACGCTTCGCGTGACGCCACCAGCCTTCCGCCCATGTCGCGGTTTTCCTCCCCCCTTGGTGGGGGCCATGGACGTGCGTGGTTCAGCCTTGGCCTTCTGTGGCTCCGCCGCGCCGCGGTCGCAACCGTGGTTTCAGTACTGGAGTTCTCCCCGCGGTGTTTGTGTACGTCTGTCGCCACCTCTGGTGTGCTGATTGCGGGCGCGCGTTCCTGGTTCCTGGCTTCTGGTGCGCGACTTCGATGGCGCCATCTCTTGCACCCGTCAGGCCTCGGGTCGCAGCTTGGGTTCCCGAGTTGTTTCCACGCCCTCTTTGGTGGTGCCCGCGCGCCATGTTGGCCGCGCTGCAGCTCCGGCTGCTCCTCGCACTTGTGCGTTTTGCTGCGGTTGGTCTTCCTGGCCTTGGCCACCCTGGTACTTCGCAGGTTGCCGGTGCTCACGCCCTTTCTGGGCACCCAATTCGACCTACGACAGTCGGTTCACTCGGGTGCGGCCACCCTGGTACCTTCGTAGTAGTCCGGGGGCTTGCGCCCTTGCAACTAATTCCACGACTCGGAGTTGCCCCTGGCCGTCGTTGACTTTCCGACGCGTGACGCCTCCCACTGACTTGCAGCTGTGCGCGCTGGCAGTCCCCCTCAGCTCAGTCCCGGCAGCCCCCCAGCTGAGGCCTCGGCCGCTTAGTTGTCGCCTCGCCCGTCGCTCTGTTTGGTTTTCCCGCGTTCCTTTTGCCAATTCGTCTCTGCGTAGCCCGCTTTGACCTGACACGCCGCCGGCGGGCTCGCCCGCGGCCGCTGAGTGTCGCCGCCAGCCTTGTCTTGACAGTGGTTGTGTAGCAACGTGCAGTGGGACATTTTTTCGCGCGTTCCTCTGTACTATCTTCTTTGGTGCGTTCACAGGCCCCAAGCAGGCGCGCCGTGAACGCCTTTTAAGGTTTATTTTAGAGCTCTTCGTGAAATCAGACGGGTGCCTGGCAGGGCGTGTGGAACATTGACTTGTACCCGCGACGGAAGTGCCCATGCTGCGGAACATCCATTGCAGCCAGCACCGATGATTCTCCATGTTCTTTTACAATATCAGTAAGTACGGCCTCTCATGGGCAGCCAGGAACCATCCTGAAACGATAGCCAGGCGTGTTGCTATGATCAATGGCGTGTGATAGCATGC